TAAATCGAACAAGATGTCCCTCACTTCATCAGTTAAACATAATTCAACCCAATGGCAAAATATAGCAAAACAATCAATTCATTTTATATTCGAAAAATACAATCCAATTAATTCTAAGAAAAGAGAGCTTTCTATTATTAGCATGAACGCAGAGTTATTTGAGGAAAGTCTTCTGGAAAGACTTGAGAGCCTTTTTTATTAATTTCTGATAATGCCTCATACCACAGCAGACAAAATGAAACAACTCCATACTCTTCTTCCACAAAAGCAAAATTAAGGCAGCGGGTAAATAATCATAGGTACAGTTTAAATTTAAATACTGACCTATTGGCAAAGGGAAAACAGGCTTGTACTGGCAAAGGAAAGCAGTATGTTATCGATGAAATGGCTTTCAAATATGGTCACAGAGTTCTTCCGCTTCTACCTTACCACTGCCAGTTCAGTGCCATAGAATTGATTCCGGGTAGGTACATCAAAAAGTTTTTATGACAAATGGGCTTGCAGAACAACAACAGCAGAAACTGTTTTGAAACTTTGGGATTATGCCTTGTCTAAAGCCATCCCAGAAAAGTGGTTTAAATCTATGGAGCATGTGGGAAATATTAGGTATATTGACAGCCTACGAAGTGGAATATGTAATTGTCGAGATACGCTCAATTATTATTGATACCGTAGAAGACTCCTCTGATTGGCTCTGATGACGATAGCAATCATTTTTTATCCAATTAAATATTTATTTGTTTTTTCTTATGCAAAATGTTCATTTTTGTTCCATTTCTTATTTATTTTGTGTTTAGTTAAATATAACTCATGTTTTACTTGTAAACAATATGTAATAATAAAACTAATAAAAGCATATATATACACAGCATTAGATGAATACCTAAATTACATTTTACTGTAAAAAATATATTTCTTCACAAAATTTTAAAACCCACAACACATTTTGAGAATTTCAGGTAATAACCCGTCTTGAGTTTGACCAAAGTTTGTTTGATTTTCTTCATATTTCGCATGATTTATGGCCATGCCGTATTTTACAACTCATACGGGTAACCTCTGGGCAGGGTGCACCAACTTTACGACTGTTAACTGATACGCGTCTGGAGGTCATTGTAATGGAACCATGTGTTTTAACCTAATTGAAATTTTTCTCAGAACCCAAAATAATATTCTTTTCTTTTTTTGTGCGGAAAATAAGGTAAAAAACATTGTTCACGATCGTTTGGCGCTGCGAACGCGCTTTTTTATGGCGCAATCGGACTGGAACAGGATTTTCGTTTCACGGCAGAATTGAAATTTGAGTTTTTGTGAAGCTTGTGTTAATTTACCATGAAAAACGTTCTTCAGATTTTCAAATTATTTTTAGTTCCCCAGTCAAGTCAATTTTTGACCAATGACAATTTCCATTGCACTCGTTATATTACTATTTAGTACGATCCCATATAGCATAAAAAAGTGCTCTCGTTTTGTGTGTTAAGAGTGGTGATAAGTTACTCAATTTTTTTTGCTTATCTTATTGAGCCGCCATCATAAAATTAATAGTTAATGTGAAAATTTATTTGCAAGGTGCATTTGCTCAAATGTATCATGAAAGTGCACCCACGCTCAAAAAAGAAGCAGTCGAAAGACGAAGTGTTGGAAAGCTACCCGGGGTAGAGCACAGCCGGTGAAACTCTCAACTTCAAGTGACGATATCTTGAAAACTATGTACCTATCACAAAGTATGGCGGTTTTTTTCAAAAACTTTCTTGATGTCTTAGCTTTGTTTCGTTCGCTGGTAGTATGGCAGAAATCCTTAAAACAAAAAAGTTTCTAGCTTACTGAAAAAAGTACTGCATAAAAAGTGTCTAGTTCTTCGAAAAAAGCGAGTTTTCTAGAAAAACAAAATTATCTTAGTGATTTTCGCTAATATCTATATAAAAATAATGAATTACATATCTCAATTAGTTCCGGAGATATCGCGAGGTATGTATGTGTGAAAAAGTATGAAAATTGAATTTTGACAAATTTATGACATTTTTCGATATAAAAATTGTTGGACCTACGAAAAAATCTTGTAATTAGCCATTTCAGGTGACCATGGACCTATTCCATAGATCTGTAAAGGTCTTATGTAGTTATACCTTGAAAAAAAAAAAAATTGGAACATTTTTGCCGCTTTTTCAGTCTACTATTGGGTATTCTGATAATAAATTGAGATTGTTACATCGGTTTTGTTTTGTTATAGATTCCTATTTGACTGGTATTTTCAGGGTGGATTTGTAAAGTCCTTATTGATCTCACTGGTTGCTATTTACGTAGTGATAAAAAGATTATCCTTAAGGCCTTTTTAGGCTTGAGTAAGAAGCGCATTTTTCCTTTTCCTAAACAACATGGCAGATGTCAATGTTTGGATCAGACAATTAATGCAATTGGAACATTTTTTCACTCTGAACTTACACTGCTTCAGATCATCAGCGTCACCGCATACCGGACAAGTAATAGTTTTTATGTTTATACTATAAAGACCTTTTGCTTGTTGGTCCAAGAAACGGGGATCTGAAAAGAGGGTCTACCTCAACATAATTAAAAGTTGAATTTTTTTTGGTGGGATCGGTTCATTTTAATATGCTAAACAACATATTAAGTTTGCGACCTTGTACTTCCATAGGGTTTTCAGTTAGGGGTGGTTTTTAGGGGTAATTTGCGGTTTAGTGAGAACGCTGCTCAAAGGGATGGTTCAATAGCAAAAAGTTTCAAATGAATGTTGTAGTTGCAGTTTTTTGCTATAAAAAACTAAGCGACAGCACCCCTCTATCTTCTATAGTTATTTTTCTGCAGCGTCCCGAATAGTAGCATGTTTTTGTTCAAGATCACTGAATCAACGTTTTGCCATTTTGCGCGCATTCGTTGCAGCAGCGGCCGAATGCATAATCCGATTTCAATTTTTCAAACACCGCATTATTGCTAATGAAATGCACTCTCCAATGCTTTTTTGTTCGAATTTTTTGCTTGAAAATTAAGCGAGCACGGACTTGTCTAATGTGCGAGGAAGTTGTAAATTACATCGAAAACTACCCCTTTCTTTCATTCACTGTAATTTCTAAACGGGGCCAAATATTTAGTGACAGTTTTCGACAATCGGCAGCCCATTTATTCCTCTCATAATGCCCCAGCGGATTTTTTTTTCGTTAATTACTTAATGACTTATTGGCCTGAAAACGTCGCGCGGGATTTTTCAAAAAGTGAAAAAAAATTAAAATTGTCACATAGCGCTGAAATTTGGTACATTTTGGCGCAAACCGAAATCCGATATCTGCATCCGTTTTCAAGTTATTTGCGAATAACTATTTTAATCGAATATCTCCCTCCTATCATTTTAAACCAATCAAAAAATCTCATTTTGTAGTCAAAAATTATTTTCAAGTGGAAAAATTTCATGACATGACATGAAAACAAAATAAAATACTCATAAATGTTAATAAATCAATAAAAATTTATTGTTTTGCTCAGTAAGGAAACATTCTTAACAAAAACCAGTCGTGCTTCTAATTTTTCCTGACGCAAAATCTAAAAAACTCGTTTGCAAGTAATTTGTTTACCAAAATACTGGCGTGAATTTTTTTCATCTATGAGTGTGTGGAAGGTAGCACTTTACAGCACACGTGCGGTAAAGTACTTGAAATACAAAAATATTGACACTCGAAGGTGAAATTTTGTACCAACACATGCCGAAAGTGCCTTTACCGCTCTTGACGCCATGACAACTGCTGTCGCGTGCGGTAAAGCCCTTAACGGCTTGACCGAACTCGCGTCGTTCGGTCAACTGCCGTTGCGTACGGTAAAGTATCACTTTCCTCATTTGTTAGGTGAATAACTATAACAGGTACGAGCGTTATAATAGGTATTTACGTAACAAGTGCTGAAAGTGATACTTTACCGCACGCGACAGCAGTTGTCATGGCGTCAAGAGCGGTAAAGGCACTTTCGGCATGTGTTGGTACAAAATTTCACCTTCGAGTGTCAATATTTTTGTATTTCAAGTACCTACTTTACCGCACATGTGCTGTAAAGTGCTACCTTCCACATACTCATAGATAAAAAAAATTCACGGCAGTATTTTGGTAAACAAATTACTTGCAAACGAGTTTTTTAGATTTTTCGACAGGAAAAATTAGAAGCACGAGTGGTTTTTGTTAAGAATGTTTCCTTACTGAGCAAAACAATAAATTTTTATTAATTTATTAGAATTTATGAGTATTTTATTTTGTTTTCATGTCATGTCATGAAATTTTTCCACTTGAAACTAGTTTTTGACAACAAAATGAAATTTTTTGATTGATTTAAAATGACAGGAGGGAGATATTCGATTAAAATAGTTATTTGCAAATAACTTGAAAACGGATGCAGATATCGGATTGCGGTTTGCGCCAAAATGTAGATAATTTTTTGCTCTTTAAGCAGAGTTATAAAAAAATAATATCATGCCATTTAAATTTTTCCAGAAATTAAAAAAAACTGGATCTTGGTTAAATAGCGCCCTCTAGAAGACACGGTGGGAACTATCGACCCCGAACGAAGTGGTGCTCTTATTAACATTGAAATTCTCTTTCGAATAAGCCCGAATTGAATGAGTTTGGATAAGGGGTATGGAAGATACAGCAATTTTTAAAACTATTTTTTCCCCAGCTTCCCCCACCCTTATTAGTGAAGATACGAAAAAAGGCTAATAAGCAAACTGGCGCAAAAATTAACGAACTTTTGATTTCTGTTGTTAAAACAGTACCTTGATATAGCGATTTTTCGAGAAAATTTGAATTTTTAGTTATATCATCGTGATTGCGCCCCCTAGCGGCCATCTTAGAAACTTGAAAATAATTTCCATCAATTTCTCTTGGCCGATTTAGTGATGAAGAAAAAAATCCCGATGCCGTAAGGTCTATGGTTTCCATTATAACGTACCTCGTCGACCTTAGTGGGACACCCTGTATATAATTTCTTGAATTTTTTTGTTTTAGATATTACCAACTGACATAGTCTCACAAAAAATCTGTCGGAGGTGCTACAAAAACGTGCGAAAAATACACGAAATTGTCCAATCTGCTATCATGCACGATCAAAACTTAAAGGTTTATATTTCCTTCCTAACTCAAAGAATGATCTTGATAAACAAGTATTCTATTTTCAGGAAAAACGTCAACATTACATCGAGAACCTATCAAGCACCTGCATAACAATCAAAAAAGATAATCGAGTGCCTGTCCAAAAAGAAACCGAACCAAAGGAAACTTATGTTGTTAGTCCCAAACTAGAGCCCTGCTTATTTCCCAATAATACTGTGGAAAACTTCCAAGAGAAAACTTCAGCAAAAAAGAAAAAAGGTCCTACAACAATACATTCAAGCATCGTTAATGTCCAAGGAAAGTATCCTCATATTAAGCTACCCAAAAAATCTCTGGATATGGATATAGCACCTATTGTGTCGTTTACTCTGGGAGAAGTGGATACTTACTTTGAAAATAGGAACCTGGATATGTCCAAGTATATTTACAGACAAAAAAGAATAAAGAAGAGGAAACAATTTGATTCTGACAGTCATCCTTCTAAATCTGCTACAAGCCAAACCGTCAGTTCAGTAAATGGAAAAAGCATGACTGTTGCAGCTGATGAGACCATTAAAAATCCAGAATTAGAAACTTCTGACAACGTGCTGATGTTAGATGATTTACCCTCTTCAAATAAAAGAAAATTTTTATTCGGCAAAGATCCAAGTCTAAAAATAAAAAAAATATCAGTTGGAACACCTACGAATTCAACAGTTGTCTTTGATCGACTTTTGCCGAATACTTTATCTGACCATATAACATCTTATCCACAAGATGATCCTCGAATCGCCACCAAACCTGATTTTATTCAAGTCTTAGGTTTAACACCTGCAACAGATGAAGCTGTATCTCAAAACTCCCTCATATGCCAAATTTGCAATAATGTACAGGCCAGCAAACGAAAAAACTTATGCACCAAATGTAAGTATCCATAATGACGTTACTGTGGATGGTCTCGAGAATAACAAATGTAAAGAACCCAGTACATCATTGTCAATGCGAAAATCTCTTCCTGCTACAGTTTTAGTATCGAAGTAAGTTTCTGTTCGTAACAAAAGGTCATTACCAGCAACCAAACGTTCGGAAGTTCGCAGAAGTCATCGAAAACGTAGGCAAATTATTCAACTATAAAAATATTTAAAAAACTGATGCAACTTGATACATTCATAATCACATTATCACATTTTTGGTATGTAACTAAAAATATATTATTAGGTGAAATATTCTTGAGTTTTTTTTTTTGGATAGAGTATTTTGTTCCTGAAGCTTATTATTGAGTTTAATTTAATAAAGCCAAAGGTTACGTTCAGGCGATGCCAGCGGCTAAGTTCAGCCACTCAGCAGGAACTTTATTCTCGAAACAGGGAAGCAGCATTCTCGTGAGAACGAAGGTTCTGGCTTTGTCGTCCGGCATAGCACTGACAATGACAGAGCATTCGTTCTTATGAGAACGCTGTTCCTCGGTTTCGAGAATAAAGTTCCTGCCGAGTAGCTGAGCTTAGCCGCTGGCACCGCCTGAATGTACCCAATGACATCAACACACAGATAGACGGATCATCCCATACATAAACTGATATTTGTTGTGTTGACAAGACCACCCATTGGTCAGGGAAGGTGAGTTGTTCGCGTGGTCGGGGTGGGGAGACATCATTGCTCAAAATGGCGTAAAAAACCCCTCGTATTGGTCGTTTCTTGTTTAACGCTAATGAATAATCCCTGCGATAAAGATAGGTAGCTACTCCAACCAGTGGCGGACCTAGGACCTTTGGGGCCTGACGCAAAAATTTTTTTTGGGGCCCTGTCATGCTTTTTTTTAGATATTTTTCTTGTGGTGTTCAGGGCCGTATCTAGACCAAAATTTGGGGGGGGGGGGTTAGTAAAAGTGGCAAAAAAAATTGTTACACTAGTAATAAAAAAAAAAAATAAATAAGTATTTAATAATTGTTGTTTTTTTTTAAGTTAAATTTTTTGAGTTTTATCATTTTTTTGGGGGGGTTTGAGCCCCCAAAACCCCCCCTAGATACGGCCCTGGTGGTGTTGGGGTGTGAGGTGAGTGTGCGGAAGTTATTTATATTTTTGAAGTTTTTAACAACCAAATATAGAAACAAATTTATTCAAAAAACAAGTTTATCAAGAACATATGAGACAAAAAACAAGTTGAACGAAAAAAAAAAATTGTAAAAATTCAGGAACTTTTTATCTAAACAAAAAGAAATATAACATAGTAGTACCGCACTGCACTGATACTGTCCGTACTCCACCGACAAATGCCATAAATTATCTGGTTTGGAAGACAATAGGCAATTTAATACGAGGATAACCAAGCATAATCTTTTGCTGGATTATATGATGTGTCATTTGTGTTATACTCCCCCACCATCAAATTCTGGAATACTCGAGGATCAAGAACACTTAGTTGCTTTTGTGAGAACAAACCGAAAATCACCTTTTCTACATTTAAAATCGACGAAGAAATTAACTCACTAGCACAGCCTGAATCGCAAGCATTCCATCGAGGTCTGCGGGTGACGTGCATTTGCTCAAATGTATCATGAAAGTGCACCCACGCTCAAAAAAGAAGCAGTCGAAAGACGAAGTGTTGGAAAGCTACCCGGGGTAGAGCACAGCCGGTGAAACTCTCAACTTCAAGTGACGATATCTTGAAAACTATGTACCTATCACAAAGTATGGCGGTTTTTTTCAAAAACTTTCTTGATGTCTTAGCTTTGTTTCGTTCGCTGGTAGTATGGCAGAAATCCTTAAAACAAAAAAGTTTCTAGCTTACTGAAAAAAGTACTGCATAAAAAGTGTCTAGTTCTTCGAAAAAAGCGAGTTTTCTAGAAAAACAAAATTATCTTAGTGATTTTCGCTAATATCTATATAAAAATAATGAATTACATATCTCAATTAGTTCCGGAGATATCGCGAGGTATGTATGTGTGAAAAAGTATGAAAATTGAATTTTGACAAATTTATGACATTTTTCGATATAAAAATTGTTGGACCTACGAAAAAATCTTGTAATTAGCCATTTCAGGTGACCATGGACCTATTCCATAGATCTGTAAAGGTCTTATGTAGTTATACCTTGAAAAAAAAAAAAATTGGAACATTTTTGCCGCTTTTTCAGTCTACTATTGGGTATTCTGATAATAAATTGAGATTGTTACATCGGTTTTGTTTTGTTATAGATTCCTATTTGACTGGTATTTTCAGGGTGGATTTGTAAAGTCCTTATTGATCTCACTGGTTGCTATTTACGTAGTGATAAAAAGATTATCCTTAAGGCCTTTTTAGGCTTGAGTAAGAAGCGCATTTTTCCTTTTCCTAAACAACATGGCAGATGTCAATGTTTGGATCAGACAATTAATGCAATTGGAACATTTTTTCACTCTGAACTTACACTGCTTCAGATCATCAGCGTCACCGCATACCGGACAAGTAATAGTTTTTATGTTTATACTATAAAGACCTTTTGCTTGTTGGTCCAAGAAACGGGGATCTGAAAAGAGGGTCTACCTCAACATAATTAAAAGTTGAATTTTTTTTGGTGGGATCGGTTCATTTTAATATGCTAAACAACATATTAAGTTTGCGACCTTGTACTTCCATAGGGTTTTCAGTTAGGGGTGGTTTTTAGGGGTAATTTGCGGTTTAGTGAGAACGCTGCTCAAAGGGATGGTTCAATAGCAAAAAGTTTCAAATGAATGTTGTAGTTGCAGTTTTTTGCTATAAAAAACTAAGCGACAGCACCCCTCTATCTTCTATAGTTATTTTTCTGCAGCGTCCCGAATAGTAGCATGTTTTTGTTCAAGATCACTGAATCAACGTTTTGCCATTTTGCGCGCATTCGTTGCAGCAGCGGCCGAATGCATAATCCGATTTCAATTTTTCAAACACCGCATTATTGCTAATGAAATGCACTCTCCAATGCTTTTTTGTTCGAATTTTTTGCTTGAAAATTAAGCGAGCACGGACTTGTCTAATGTGCGAGGAAGTTGTAAATTACATCGAAAACTACCCCTTTCTTTCATTCACTGTAATTTCTAAACGGGGCCAAATATTTAGTGACAGTTTTCGACAATCGGCAGCCCATTTATTCCTCTCATAATGCCCCAGCGGATTTTTTTTTCGTTAATTACTTAATGACTTATTGGCCTGAAAACGTCGCGCGGGATTTTTCAAAAAGTGAAAAAAAATTAAAATTGTCACATAGCGCTGAAATTTGGTACATTTTGGCGCAAACCGAAATCCGATATCTGCATCCGTTTTCAAGTTATTTGCGAATAACTATTTTAATCGAATATCTCCCTCCTATCATTTTAAACCAATCAAAAAATCTCATTTTGTAGTCAAAAATTATTTTCAAGTGGAAAAATTTCATGACATGACATGAAAACAAAATAAAATACTCATAAATGTTAATAAATCAATAAAAATTTATTGTTTTGCTCAGTAAGGAAACATTCTTAACAAAAACCAGTCGTGCTTCTAATTTTTCCTGACGCAAAATCTAAAAAACTCGTTTGCAAGTAATTTGTTTACCAAAATACTGGCGTGAATTTTTTTCATCTATGAGTGTGTGGAAGGTAGCACTTTACAGCACACGTGCGGTAAAGTACTTGAAATACAAAAATATTGACACTCGAAGGTGAAATTTTGTACCAACACATGCCGAAAGTGCCTTTACCGCTCTTGACGCCATGACAACTGCTGTCGCGTGCGGTAAAGCCCTTAACGGCTTGACCGAACTCGCGTCGTTCGGTCAACTGCCGTTGCGTACGGTAAAGTATCACTTTCCTCATTTGTTAGGTGAATAACTATAACAGGTACGAGCGTTATAATAGGTATTTACGTAACAAGTGCTGAAAGTGATACTTTACCGCACGCGACAGCAGTTGTCATGGCGTCAAGAGCGGTAAAGGCACTTTCGGCATGTGTTGGTACAAAATTTCACCTTCGAGTGTCAATATTTTTGTATTTCAAGTACCTACTTTACCGCACATGTGCTGTAAAGTGCTACCTTCCACATACTCATAGATAAAAAAAATTCACGGCAGTATTTTGGTAAACAAATTACTTGCAAACGAGTTTTTTAGATTTTTCGACAGGAAAAATTAGAAGCACGAGTGGTTTTTGTTAAGAATGTTTCCTTACTGAGCAAAACAATAAATTTTTATTAATTTATTAGAATTTATGAGTATTTTATTTTGTTTTCATGTCATGTCATGAAATTTTTCCACTTGAAACTAGTTTTTGACAACAAAATGAAATTTTTTGATTGATTTAAAATGACAGGAGGGAGATATTCGATTAAAATAGTTATTTGCAAATAACTTGAAAACGGATGCAGATATCGGATTGCGGTTTGCGCCAAAATGTAGATAATTTTTTGCTCTTTAAGCAGAGTTATAAAAAAATATATCATGCCATTTAAATTTTTCCAGAAAATTAAAAAAAACTGGATCTTGGTTAAATAGCGCCCTCTAGAAGACACGGTGGGAACTATCGACCCCGAACGAAGTGGTGCTCTTATTAACATTGAAATTCTCTTTCGAATAAGCCCGAATTGAATGAGTTTGGATAAGGGGTATGGAAGATACAGCAATTTTTAAAACTATTTTTTCCCCAGCTTCCCCCACCCTTATTAGTGAAGATACGAAAAAAGGCTAATAAGCAAACTGGCGCAAAAATTAACGAACTTTTGATTTCTGTTGTTAAAACAGTACCTTGATATAGCGATTTTTCGAGAAAATTTGAATTTTTAGTTATATCATCGTGATTGCGCCCCCTAGCGGCCATCTTAGAAACTTGAAAATAATTTCCATCAATTTCTCTTGGCCGATTTAGTGATGAAGAAAAAAATCCCGATGCCGTAAGGTCTATGGTTTCCATTATAACGTACCTCGTCGACCTTAGTGGGACACCCTGTATATAATTTCTTGAATTTTTTTGTTTTAGATATTACCAACTGACATAGTCTCACAAAAAATCTGTCGGAGGTGCTACAAAAACGTGCGAAAAATACACGAAATTGTCCAATCTGCTATCATGCACGATCAAAACTTAAAGGTTTATATTTCCTTCCTAACTCAAAGAATGATCTTGATAAACAAGTATTCTATTTTCAGGAAAAACGTCAACATTACATCGAGAACCTATCAAGCACCTGCATAACAATCAAAAAAGATAATCGAGTGCCTGTCCAAAAAGAAACCGAACCAAAGGAAACTTATGTTGTTAGTCCCAAACTAGAGCCCTGCTTATTTCCCAATAATACTGTGGAAAACTTCCAAGAGAAAACTTCAGCAAAAAAGAAAAAAGGTCCTACAACAATACATTCAAGCATCGTTAATGTCCAAGGAAAGTATCCTCATATTAAGCTACCCAAAAAATCTCTGGATATGGATATAGCACCTATTGTGTCGTTTACTCTGGGAGAAGTGGATACTTACTTTGAAAATAGGAACCTGGATATGTCCAAGTATATTTACAGACAAAAAAGAATAAAGAAGAGGAAACAATTTGATTCTGACAGTCATCCTTCTAAATCTGCTACAAGCCAAACCGTCAGTTCAGTAAATGGAAAAAGCATGACTGTTGCAGCTGATGAGACCATTAAAAATCCAGAATTAGAAACTTCTGACAACGTGCTGATGTTAGATGATTTACCCTCTTCAAATAAAAGAAAATTTTTATTCGGCAAAGATCCAAGTCTAAAAATAAAAAAAATATCAGTTGGAACACCTACGAATTCAACAGTTGTCTTTGATCGACTTTTGCCGAATACTTTATCTGACCATATAACATCTTATCCACAAGATGATCCTCGAATCGCCACCAAACCTGATTTTATTCAAGTCTTAGGTTTAACACCTGCAACAGATGAAGCTGTATCTCAAAACTCCCTCATATGCCAAATTTGCAATAATGTACAGGCCAGCAAACGAAAAAACTTATGCACCAAATGTAAGTATCCATAATGACGTTACTGTGGATGGTCTCGAGAATAACAAATGTAAAGAACCCAGTACATCATTGTCAATGCGAAAATCTCTTCCTGCTACAGTTTTAGTATCGAAGTAAGTTTCTGTTCGTAACAAAAGGTCATTACCAGCAACCAAACGTTCGGAAGTTCGCAGAAGTCATCGAAAACGTAGGCAAATTATTCAACTATAAAAATATTTAAAAAACTGATGCAACTTGATACATTCATAATCACATTATCACATTTTTGGTATGTAACTAAAAATATATTATTAGGTGAAATATTCTTGAGTTTTTTTTTTTGGATAGAGTATTTTGTTCCTGAAGCTTATTATTGAGTTTAATTTAATAAAGCCAAAGGTTACGTTCAGGCGATGCCAGCGGCTAAGTTCAGCCACTCAGCAGGAACTTTATTCTCGAAACAGGGAAGCAGCATTCTCGTGAGAACGAAGGTTCTGGCTTTGTCGTCCGGCATAGCACTGACAATGACAGAGCATTCGTTCTTATGAGAACGCTGTTCCTCGGTTTCGAGAATAAAGTTCCTGCCGAGTAGCTGAGCTTAGCCGCTGGCACCGCCTGAATGTACCCAATGACATCAACACACAGATAGACGGATCATCCCATACATAAACTGATATTTGTTGTGTTGACAAGACCACCCATTGGTCAGGGAAGGTGAGTTGTTCGCGTGGTCGGGGTGGGGAGACATCATTGCTCAAAATGGCGTAAAAAACCCCTCGTATTGGTCGTTTCTTGTTTAACGCTAATGAATAATCCCTGCGATAAAGATAGGTAGCTACTCCAACCAGTGGCGGACCTAGGACCTTTGGGGCCTGACGCAAAAATTTTTTTTGGGGCCCTGTCATGCTTTTTTTTAGATATTTTTCTTGTGGTGTTCAGGGCCGTATCTAGACCAAAATTTGGGGGGGGGGGGGTTAGTAAAAGTGGCAAAAAAAATTGTTACACTAGTAATAAAAAAAAAAAATAAATAAGTATTTAATAATTGTTGTTTTTTTTTAAGTTAAATTTTTTGAGTTTTATCATTTTTTTGGGGGGGTTTGAGCCCCCAAAACCCCCCCTAGATACGGCCCTGGTGGTGTTGGGGTGTGAGGTGAGTGTGCGGAAGTTATTTATATTTTTGAAGTTTTTAACAACCAAATATAGAAACAAATTTATTCAAAAAACAAGTTTATCAAGAACATATGAGACAAAAAACAAGTTGAACGAAAAAAAAAAATTGTAAAAATTCAGGAACTTTTTATCTAAACAAAAAGAAATATAACATAGTAGTACCGCACTGCACTGATACTGTCCGTACTCCACCGACAAATGCCATAAATTATCTGGTTTGGAAGACAATAGGCAATTTAATACGAGGATAACCAAGCATAATCTTTTGCTGGATTATATGATGTGTCATTTGTGTTATACTCCCCCACCATCAAATTCTGGAATACTCGAGGATCAAGAACACTTAGTTGCTTTTGTGAGAACAAACCGAAAATCACCTTTTCTACATTTAAAATCGACGAAGAAATTAACTCACTAGCACAGCCTGAATCGCAAGCATTCCATCGAGGTCTGCGGGTGACGTCATCACTACAAGCTGCTGATAGTGACGTCACTCGCAGGCCCAGAATGATACAATTGACACATCACATAACCCAGCATATCAGATTATGCTTGATTATCCTCGCGAAAAATTGCCTAAGTAATAGCTAAAAAGCCGCGTAAAGTCGACGTGTCCGCAGTTGCCGCATCGCGTCAAGTGGATCAGGGCTGGGATCACGACATTCTACTAGAATTCTACTTTCATGACGTCAGGTTGCCTAGCAACTGTCATCATCGCCTGTACCGTAAGAGTGTATGTGTAATGTGTCGCGAATGACGTCATGAAAGTGGAATTCACTTGTCATGATTCCAGCCCTGGATTCCCTACAGGGCCGTTATTATCGAAACAGGAGATAGGCGTTCTGTCTTAGTTGCCCATATTTCTATTTCCATAACACTGACAATGACAGTGCAATCGGTTTTTCTCTTGAGAACGCTGTTCCTCGGTTTCAAGAATAGGCATCCTGGAATACAACGTTGCCGTCTCTTTCAAAATTTAATTTTCGATTTTTTTTATATCTACGAGTTTATTTTTTGATTCGTTTTTATCGGTATTTTCAGAAGCTGGTTGTGTGGGGGCCCCTCAGCTCTGGGGGCCCGACGCAGAGTGCGTCGTTTGCTTCATGCTAGATCCGCCACTGACTCCAACCAACACCTGCCTGCCATCGAACAATCCGCTTCTTGGCGGCGTTTTGCTACAATCCGCTGTTGCCAAATTGAGTTCAGAAATAAAATTGAAAATGTTATAATTAACATTTTCAAAGGAGAAAAATATATTATTTAGGGATTCAAGACAAAATTTGGCATTCTCAGTGGTGGGGCTAGCCCAAAAGAGACAGAGAGATGTTGTCATACGAAAATGTTGTTTATTGTTCTGTCTATCTGTGTTTTGATGTCATTGAATAAAGCCAAGTCGAGATGTCTATTTGAGGTTAGAGATGGAATAGGATTAGGAAACTTGGCTTGAATATGTTTCCATGCATCATGGACTTCGTTTTCATTTTTGCGCAAAGCAAGACATGAGTAGCTTCCCAAATAACAGGATCCTATGCATAGATATCCAGAAGAAGCAGAACTCTTCCACAAATCCACTCCATTTCAACCACAAACAAAACAATCAAAACTTGTCGCGACTTATACAATGCTTATACAGAGTAATGTAGCGCATCGACTCGCCTACTTGTCATATGCTAGTCGCGCCCTTTGACTTGCGACGATTTACCGACAGCCAACGGCAAGTACAAGTCTCGACCTGAGCATAGGCAAGTCTTCATACACATTACTCGAAACTTGGCAATTACTTCACAAGTATCACATAATGAGTAGCCGCCTTAAGACTTACTGAAGACAGGCACACCGTAGTGACTACTAAGACTTAGAAAGACTTATAAGTATAAAATAAAGTTGAATAGAACATATACCAGAACTCCTGTCTCCTATGAGAGCATGATGAGGTGTTTTCGAATTCAAACTCAATTTATTAGAAAGATTATATATTTTTAAGAAAGATTATACATTTTTAAAAAACATTATTATTAATAGTATTTGTTGTGACTGCTAATGAGAAGAATTGCCACAAGATCTTGCTCAATAAATTTGCTGAAAAAGAAAATAGAAAATTAGAATGTTTCATTTTTGGTATGAACCCAAAATAGTTACCTGATCAGCGTCGAGTGGAAGGACCTGGTTGATCCCTCATCTGCTTTGCCTCTTGGGCACGTTTGGCAAAGAGCGCTTGCTTCTCGGCCATAAACTTCTCCATCTGAAAAATCAAAAAAAAAAATCCAAATAATAATTTGTTTTTGCATGAACTATAAGATACTGTCCTTGACTAATGACTAGTCCCAATCCAATTAGAGACTGTGACAGTTTTTTTTTTTCAATAATATTCCTGCTACACAAATAATTTTAAGCTCATTCCAACTATATGGGAATTTATAATTTATTGCTTGAAATTTCAATGTTTACTACAATGACAGAAATTATGGACACCCCTAAGTGTGATAGAGCTCTCCAGTGTTTTGGCCTCCAGCTGCACACAAATAAACAAACACGTCTTAAAGGGGGTGTGACCCAAAAATGAAAGTTTGAGTGCAAAAAAATCTAAGAACAAATATTTAAACCACATCTTGCTACGATGAACCGTTTTCGAGTTAGGGCGGTTCAAAGTGACGAACGCCTAGGCTGTGACGTCACACCGGCTTCGGAGCACACCAGTTAAAGCACGAGTAAAATTTTCCATAACAAAAGTCAGCGATCTCACTTAGAGCGAATTGCAACCACTTTAGGGCGCGGTTCACTGACGACTGAACGAACAGAAGGCTACGATTTCGGCGGTTAGCCGGTGTGACGTCACAAGTTCCCGCAAAATTTATCTGCATAGGGGATTTCCTCGGATACTATTTTGAATATAAGACTGCGGATTTCACGAGAAATCTTAGACAGAACCGCTTTCCAGCTGTGTGCTTCAAGCACAGTGTTCTGTGTTTGAAACGCAAAAGATAGCAGCTCTCGAAGCGCAGTACGGCTGAAACACGAACATGCGCTTGAAGCATTTGCGCGCGCAAAAGCTCAATTGCGTGCTCAAAATGGTCAGCTGGAAAGCGGCTTAAGCTGTTTTTTGGGTCACACCCCCTTTAAAACAGAATTTTTTTACTTGAAATATTTAACAATTTTATTGGCGAATGCGCAGAAGAGTTCACTTGTGTGTTCTGCTGACCAATTGATATTAAGTAGAAATTATTTTATGGGGGAAAATAAATGAGCTGAAAAACTGAAATAAAAAATCGGACATAACTCTGGTGTCATGCCATACCTGCCATACACAATGAAGTATTAATATTTCCATCTGTTAGTAATAGCTCCTTCCAAACGGCCAGTTGTAGATGGACTCCTAGTCAATATAATGAATGTGTGCTTTAGGGTAAGGCTGTATAACCAGGTTATCAAACGTTTTTAAATAGAAGGCGGTGTGGAGTGATATATCGTTTTAAAGGTATCTTTATTCTTAATTTAATCTCCGATTCTGAAAACATTTGGTTTAGCGATTTTCAAATGATGGCCAAAAAACAAAGGTTTGTTTTGGTCAAATATATTTATTTTTTTTCATTATTTTATGAGTACTTTTTTTTAAGTTACCAATGTCATTACGTCATTATTTATCACTGAAAAAAAAAACAATAATGAATAAAAAACCGATAATTTTTTTTGTATGAGTGTTTATGACCAAAACAAACCCATGTTTTTTCATCATCATTTGAAAACCGCTAAACCGAATGTTTTCAGAATCGGGGATTAAATTAACCCTCCGTACACACACTGGGGTCTACCGGACCCCAACAAAAGTTTGAAAGCGTGGCAAATTACGGAACTTTTAGCGATGGTTTCAAGACTCCATGTAAATTTAGTTTACGCCCCTCACTACCTAAACCCCAAACGGCAGAATCAAGCATTTATTAGTTTATGACTGACAAGCGTGTTAGTAGATCGCGGGGTCTAATATATCCCAGTGTGTGTTGCGAGTAACTTATTTGTGAATATACTTTTTGTATGTATCTAATAATTTGATACCAATTTTTCTGTTTTTGTATTTTATTTTACTTTTATAATAAGAGAATTTATTAGATTTTATTCAAAAATATTCGTGTTTGTTGATAGAAAGTTATTTTTCCACTAAAACATTTTTATTATTTTTTGTATAATAACAGAATATTTACGTACTTTATGTCCTCACTGTATACTTATATCAAATGATTAGTTTCAGTATTGCATTTGAGGAAGAAAAAGAAAAGACTTGAATATGGGGTAAATAAAACTTGGGTTGGATTCCGATTGTCATTTTGTTGTGACATACAATTTTCAGAAAGCATAATTACCTGAAGAAACTTTTTATATGCAGCCAACATTTCCGGATTGTTCTTAACTATCTCCAGTATCTCTTGATGCTTCTGCTCAGGAGTTCCTGGGGCCACTAAGGCTTGCTGCACCTCATATGCTGCCTGCATTTTCCAAGCCGGAATAACTCCAGCAACTGCGGCAGCGCCTACAGGGTTACCCATTGGTTAGCAGGTTACCTATAAAAAAGCATTGGTTTTCAGTTTTTTTTTTTGTTTAAATACTAATTTTCTTATGGAGGATGAACTGCTAAGGATCTTTAGTGTACAAAGTTTGGGATGTACGAGGATGTCTACGGATATTTGGAGATGCCTAGGCATTATTTATGGAAGTCACTACAATGATTTGCCTTCAGTTTTTTTAATGATTGTAATCTTGTCAGTCTATCACAACATGCATATCTGAAAGGTAAATCAACTCAAACAGCAATTTTTCAATTTACATATAATAGGTATAGGTACTTAAATTTCTTGAAAAAAAAAACTGCTGGGCTATTCATCGACTTATCAAAAGCTTTTGACTGCCTAATCAGAAACTATTTAAAAGAAAAGCTAAAAAATTAGGTATGGTATAAGGGAAGCATTTTGAGTTGGCTGACCTCATACTTATCAGATCGATGGTGATGTGTGAAAATCTGGAAATCAATAAGGACAATAACTCCTCTAGATCAGGTTGGCATACTAGGGCTTATACAATTCCTGATCATGATTAACGATCTGTGTTCGGTGTCCAGTGGATTGGAAGAGTCTGTAATAACAAACTATGTAGATGAGACCAATCAGCTGGTTGCGGAAGTCGATCGGCATGACTTGGAGGAAAGTGCAATGAGCTATATTTTCGAGCAGAGGATCGGTTTGAAAAAAATGAACTAGTCATAAACGAGAGCAAGACAAGCATTATGATTTTTTGCACCAATAAACTAAAAGAGAAACCATCAGCAATATGTATCCATAATCAGGAAATTGACACATTAGAGCACACTAAATTTTTAGGTGTTATAATTGATGAATTTCTAAAATGGTCAACACACATTGAAAGTTTGGTGAAAAAATTAAACAAGGTTTGTTTTTGCACTACAGTACTAAAACAATTATGTAGAAGCCAGTGTAGAAGACACCCAGGTTTTTTGTTTGGGAAGGATTTGATGATGATATAAATGGAAAGTTTGTAGCTATTAACCAAAATCGCAAAAAAAAATAAATAATCTTTTTATCAGTGCTAAATTTCGGGGAGGGCTAGGGGGGGTGGTGGTGGTGGTTTAACTCCAAAACCCCCCCTTGGGTGCGCCACTGATTTCATTATCCCCTTTGTTTTATTGCACATCACAACACCATTTGTTATCCATCAAATGTGATTACCTAATTATCAATTACTATTAAAAAAATGTTTTGCCATTCATACAAACACTCTCACAACAGAAATTTTGAAAAAGAGCCAATCCCGACGCCAGTGCCCTGAAAGCCGGTTTATTGTTTATTGCACCGCACTATCACAAGGTGAGTCACGCTGATGCAGATAAAATAATAAAAACCATATTTGCGTCGCATATTTCACCGAATTTTTGTGCAGGTGAATCACTCACCTAGGAATGCAACTACCTAAATGCGATGAATGTTTTGTGTTGTGTGCCCCTACAAATGTAATAAATACTTCAATCGGAGAAGCCATCATTATATTTCCAAAGAAAAATTTGCTGTATGGATGGAAGATGGAACCTTATGAAGGAAGAAAGGAACAAATTGAAAGTTGGACTTACCAAGGAGTTGATTATCAAATAGAATGGATTTCTCTCTTCTCTACTACACTCTTTTAACAAACGCAAAAAACAAAACTGTTAAAACTAGCTTCAAACCACATACGATTTTAAACTAACCAACCAGAGAAAGCTAAATACCCAGCGACAGACCACGAGCAAAGCACACTTGGCAATGGCATTCACGGCATTAGCTAGCATACAAACAAATTAAAACAAACAAATACAAAAATGTCCCCCACTGACCCCCACCACTTGTATCGAACCATTTCCAATCAATGGCAATCCTGTCTCGAAAACAAGCAATGCGTTCGGTATTTTGATCTGAGTTCTCCGAGCTTGAATTTACCGTTCGTTTATTTAAAAAGTACTCGGTGCAGGCTCATTACGGCTCCGTTCAGCACGCTCTGCTCTTTGAGCAAAATACCGAACGCAAGGAAGGTAATGGAGCTGAAGCCCGGGACACATCTATCATGCATTCTTCCGATCCGACTCCGATCATACAATCAGGGTCCTTATTCTTGGAACAGGGAGTAGCGTTCCCAGACGTTCTCCTGGGAACGCTGCTTCCATGTTCCAAGAATAAGAACCTTGATTGTATGATCGGAGTCGGATCTGAAGAATGCATGATAGATGTGTCCCGGCCTTAAGCCTAGTACTCATAACTGCGAAATTCGCATTTTTTTGACATTGCGTTGACAATTTGACGGTTTATGCGTGTATCAAACGTCAAATTGTCGAAGCAATGTCAAAGAAATGCGAATTTCGCAGTTATGAGTATTAGGGTACTAGGCTTAAAAAAGGACCAATAAGAGTAAAAAGTGACAGATGACAGATCAAATGTTAGCCGCTTTCCAGTATCGGGTGTGAAGCTCGGAGCTACTCGGAACGTTGAGCTCCCGAGCTATACGTACGGACAAACGTCTCACGTCATGATACTGGAACGGTACAAATCTAGTGCGTGGCGCTCTCGGGGTGCTCTAGAGCGCGCCAATGTGCATACTGGAAAGAAGAGTAACACCGAAGAGAGCACACGTCGTCTTGACCGAGCTTGACTCTTGACCCAGGCCAGAGTTGAGCAATTGAGCTGGCGGAATTTTTGGATAAAATTACACTGGCTAGAAAACGTCAACATTTTTTGCGAATCCAGTTGAGGTGTATTCAACTTTTTTGCGGATAAATAATTATAGCTTAGCAGTAAGCACTGACACAACCGGCACTGAGCTATAATATTCTATTATATATTATTACTAAGAGTAACACCGAAGAGAGCACACGTCGTCTTGACCGAGCTTGACTCTTGACCCAGGCCAGAGTTGAGCAATTGAGCTGGCGGAATTTTTGGATAAAATTACACTGGCTAGAAAACGTCAACATTTTTTGCGAATCCAGTTGAGGTGTATTCAACTTTTTTGCGGATAAATAATTATAGCTTAGCAGTAAGCACTGACACAACCGGCACTGAGCTATAATATTCTATTATATATTATTACTGCAATGGACTAGAACATTAGAGAGTTATTGGAACTAATAAATACTGCCTCGCAGTATTAAGGATCTACGTTATTTTATTAGTGCATCAGCACTATTTTTCCAAGAAAAAAACAGTTATTGGAAGACTATAGTAGGTGCTAGAGTATCACCTTATTGTGTATTCATAATTTTGACAGCTGATAGCTATGTTTATAAATTTCAACCTCAAAAAGTGTTTATTTTTGTTTGTGATTTTTTGCCGATACTCATTTTTCGATGCTACCCACAGTAAAATGGAAAACTACTGTAAAAAATAAATTTTCCAAGTAAAATTACGTCACCGTCGAAAAGCGAAACGTCAAAGTCGTCCAAAATGTCAGAAATTTGAAATAAGGGAAGTTTACTGCCTCGCACTAACCATACACAAATAAAGACAAGCAGTAACCTTATTAAGGGAATCCTTATTTTCAGACCCAAATGCGCATGCGTAGATGTCAAAATAAGGCTAATTTAAATACTGCTTGTCCTTATTGCACGTCCAATAACTCTCTATTATATATTTTTATCTTCAAGGCAAGCGTTTGAACTTTATTTTATTTTATTTTTCCAACGCTCGATACAGAATTGATCCATTATGTTCCTAGGATTAAAAATATATTTTTTCACTTCTAACCTGAGAAATTGTCATTATTCAATCTATTTTTCTAAGAAAAAATTGAATTTCTCTCCCTAGGTTAATAATGAAAAAAAACCTTAGGTCAATAATGAAAATGACGTCATGACGCAAGGATATTGTCATGACGTACCAGAGCCCGGATTCTATTTTACGAGTCGAGTCGAGTCGAATTAGTTTACTTAGTTACTTTCACACCTAGGAGGAGCTCCGGAACAGCTCCGGGGCTTCACGCGCTTATTCCTTTCGATAAGTGTTTGTTGCACCACGCATCTGTTCCTTGCAAATCGGGGGCGACTGAACATCGGAGCGAGTAGCTCGAGTGTTTCAAACTCTTGAAAGGATTACAACTTTTGTCTGTTATGACCAATGAACTATAACCAAAAACTGGAATGCTAACATACTAGGACGAACTTGAAGCCTAGTGCGGCTGCTGCGGAGGGGATACCTGTTTTTGTCGCACTCATTATGTTAAATGGCGAAAGTTGCTCCAACACGTATTCCAATTGATGAAACCTGTGAAGGGAAATATGACAAAATTTTCGAAAACGTCATATGTCAGCGAGCAACAGAAAAAAACAACATTCCCCTTGTGGCATCTGTCTTTCATGGCTTCATTTTTTTAGCAGATATGGCAATGTGTGCGCATTCCAGTTTTTAGCTATAGTTCATTGGTTATGACACTTTGATATCGAATACGACAGCTTTCAATTTCAAACTGTCAATTTGCAAGAAAACAGGTTCTTGTATCCTGATGTAGATCATAGGAACTTACCATTAGTTATTAGTTGTATTCCTTTCAAGAGCTTGAAACACTCGAGCTACTCGCTTCGGTGCATAGTCGCCCCCGATTTGCAGGGAACATATGCGTGTGCAACAAACACTTTTCGAAAGGAATAAGCGCGTGAAGCCCCGGAGCTGTTCCGGAGCTCCTCCTAGGTGTGAAAGGAATACAACTACTGATAGAGGGCAGCACTTTCGACAAGAAAAAATAATTTGAGCACAGATTTGAAACCTATTTTTTATTTTCTATGAGCAGTAGTAAAAAAAATCTATATTTTCCTGGGTAGAGAAAGTCATTACATACCTTACCAATTTGAGGTGGTTGCTCGGTTACACGAATGTTCATGTTCGGAGCAGTAAAATGGGTTCTGAGCTTTGAATATAAAACTACAGGAAGGAGCGTTTTCTATCTGTCACTACAGACAACGCAGAGACGGAAACGGCCATTTTGAGCCTCCAAGTATGGACTCATCATTTGTTTTGGTGGTTCGCTGTGTCCTCATTCAAGTGGATGTTTAATGGATTTTAGCAGTTTGAAATGATAATAAGTACTGGAATTAGTGAGAAAAGAGTGAGTCATAATATTGACAATCATATTTAAATAAATATACGCCACTGCCAAACCGGAAATACTAGTCGGCCATATGCAACCTCCACATATTTTGGTCGCGCAGATTCGAAGTTATGCTCCTTCCTGTAGTTTTATATTCAAAGGTTCTGATGGACGTTTCCACCAACTATTTTAGGGAAGCCCTAACGATAAGTATTCCCTAAAATGACATTTTTACATGGAGAAATGTCAGTTTAAGGGATACCTATCGTTAGGGCTTCCCTAAAATAGTTGGTGGAAATGGCCATGAGTGACCTAAATATTAGGTCTGTTCGCACGACGCACGGAAATCAAAAACCAGACAGAGTGAATTTCATTGGTTGAGTTGAAACTCGTTTTCTGACTGTTTTCAAACAATGAAATTCGCTTTGGCTGGTTTGTGATTTCTGTGCGAATAGACCTAGTAGTATCGTCAATATAAATATAGACGATCGAATTGCGGGTTCGAAATCTGGGCCCTGGTTCTGCTTCCGAGTGTAGATTGGAAGGGGTCTTCTAGATTTTTTAGAAGTGCATTCTGAGCTTGTGTAGGGAATCTTGAATATACCCAATAACCTTTTTTAAATAAATGTGTGATTTTTTTACTACTTTAGAGTGATAAAAAGTAAAAAGAAATTTTTCCTTAAGTTTTTCTTTATATTATTATTTCAGGTTTATTTTTATCACAAAAGAAAAGTGACTCCGAAATGAAATATCGAAAGGGACTAGAGATTAGCTGTTTACGATCAACCACTTTCTGACCTAACTTGAAGAAATAACTGATTGCGATTACCACTTGCAGAATCAGTGCAACAAAAATGTATTCTTATCCTTATATTTCACATGCTTTCAGAAAAAGATGCGAATGCACTCAGGGGCGAGTTCAGGAATGACACACCCAGTGTGAGTGTGACACCGGTGCGACGCCCTAGCTCAAAAATGCTAGACGGTGCTATGGGCCCAATGGCCAATTGTCAATTCAGGCACACCAATAAAATCGCACTCGCACCCTGTGCGTTATTTCTGAACTCGGCCCTGTGCTTTGGTCAGAAAATGGTCTGATCGTAAGCAGCTCATTTAACTCGTCTTGTCCCGACATGATTAAAGGATCGGTTCGGAGCAAAGCGAATGGATAAAGGAACGCATCTATCGTTCGGTCGGAGTGTTCTGACAGGCGACCGGCGACAAGTCTTTAAAGTTCATTGCTCTCAAAAACGGGAAATTTGGCTAAAATAAATTAGGTTATGAATGATAACAGCCTTCAACTTCATTTTTCCAACTGTCACGATACTTGATTGTGATTTGTGACTATTCCTAAAATATCCTGGGCTCCTATCCTCACAGCCGCTAGCTGCTCCTATTTGTGTTGACCTAGGCTGGACGGACTGGAAGACGTGTCATTTGTCAGAGATATAGGTTCTATTAATAACTTTAATAAATTAGTTTTTAAATGAATTAACTATATTTTCAAAATGTTGGCTTCTTCAAGCCAAAGTATGTCAACCTCCAACTCCTATTCTAACGACCGAAGCCTGAACTTTGAAAATGAATATGCGGCAGAGCCTTCCACCGGGGGCTTTTTTCATTCTGACTTCAAGAAGTAAATATGGAATTTTTAAGTAATAAATGTTTATAGTGATACAATTTTAGGCACGACGATCTCAAAGAAATGCTGGATTCTAACAAGGACAGCTTGAAACTTGAAGCTATGAAGCGCATAATTGGGGTATGTTGTATGTTACTCATTAGCAACTTCTTTGTAGTTTAACGCTATAACATATTTTGCAGATGGTAGCCAAGGGACGTGATGCTTCAATGCTCTTTCCTGCAGTCGTAAAAAATGTTGTTTCAAAGAATATTGAAGTAAAGAAACTTGTATATGTCTATTTGGAACGATATGCTGAAGAACAACAAGATTTAGCTCTATTATCTATATCTACATTTCAAAGAGCTTTAAAAGAACCAAATCAATTAATAAGGGCTGGTGCATTAAGAGTTTTATCCAGTATAAGAGTTAAAATGATATCTCCTATTGTAATGTTGGCTATTCGAGATGCTTCCTCAGATATGTCACCTTATGTTAGAAAAACAGCTGCTCATGCAATACCAAAGTTAAACAGGTGAGAATCCAGACCATATTTTTTCCATTCTTCATCACAATGCAAAAGCAGAGTCCTTTTATAATGACAAGATACCTAGTAAAGGTACCTTTTTATAAGTTTATGTGCATATGGGTACGGTTGGGCTTTTGAGAACTGGGCGAAGACCTAGTATGTAAATAGTGTTCTAGACAAAATTGATGAGTATTGCAATAGAAATCTTCTTAAGGTTAACAAGAGAAAAACAAAGTATATTGTAATCGCAAAGGAAAGCATAAACCAACATAACATCGTAATGGGTAACGTAACGAGGGTTTAGATAGTGTCAACAAAATTAACACCTTAAGTAGATGACGTAGATGTTCACATAGTTTATCAAGATGATCAAAATTGGTAATTAACAGTCAACAACCAAGTCCATGGTCATATCATAATACAAGGCAGCAGCACAACTTCTATACAGGTTGATTGATGGTCGATGGTAGGTTAGACGTTTATGGAAAACGGAATGTTGGATATTTTTGAAAATTTGCATGCCCAAGTAATAGACCTATCTATTTTACCAGACAAAGAGGTAATAATACGAAAACTTCATTGAATAAAAAAAGACACATAACGCTCATTGCACAAGACGAGGCAAAACGTACCAAATTATGTTAGACTTACGTATAGCAATCCGCCTTCTTATTTGCACAGGATAAAAAGGAAAGGAGAAAAACCGCGTGTTGTGCAACGTATTTGTCAATGAAAATGTCAAACAACTTTTGAATGACACTTGTCAAGTTGAATATCAACTTAAGATTTATTCTTGTCAGACCACGTGCAATGAACAAGGATAAAGAGATGCCCAGCGTGCAAAACGATCACCTCACACCTGTATTAGCTAGCCAATAAAAAGACATTGCCTCGTGTTGCGCGCGCATTCCAGGTAAAAATAGATAGGTCTATTGCTCCTGATCTATCATTCTAAAATAATTTCAACAATGCGACGTTGCCGCTTATACCGAAAAGTAATATGAACTTTGAAATTTTAAATTTGACACCCTATATATTATTGCATTTTTCGCTCCGCTATTACTTTCTGATCATTTCTGTATAATACTATACCTATACCTATCTCTAGTAATTTTCGACTTAATAAATAATTTCTTTATTTTTTCTTCAAAACATAGCTCTAGTTAAATTTGTATTACTACGTCCCTGAGATTCGTAGAAAGTTTAAATTTTGGAGATAACTTAGGGAGGTCCTGCATATTACTTTTGAGCAAGAAAATTTGTTCTACATTATACAGGGTTGGTCAAAATTGGTAATTGTGCTGCCAGGTACAAAAAAGATGAAAAGTACACTTTTTTAAATAGAACACCCTGTATATTATGGAATATCATGAAAGGCAATTAAAATCCCTTACAAATGATGTATCATGTTCCTATACCTAAATAGTAAGGTTTCGGAAATACAGGCAAGTTTCTGTTAGAATGGGATTATTTTGGGATATTTTGTCTAATGGCGTTTCCAATTGGTAGATTTATATTGAGTATATTTTCATCTCTTTCTTTCAGCCTATTGTAGAAACAGATAGAAATACTTTTTCTTTACACTCATTCTACTAACCCGAATCGTCATTAAATAGCTAAAGTCTGTTTTTTTTTTTAAGATAAAAGTCAAAATGATATTATGTTGGCAATACAATGTAAAATTGTCAATGCTTTCAAATTTTTTATGTAGAAAAGGCTTGTGTTACCAACATAGTTACTAAATTTTTGACTTGGGGAATTATCTTTAAAAAAAACACAGACTTTATGTCATGATGAATCATAGGTAATTCAAATGATACAAACCACATGATTGGCAGGTGATTGGAACCATGGTTATTATTCAGGATTAAAAACAAATGCATAAGATGGTCCACTTTTTACAATATGTGATATGCAAAAATATTGTCATTGTTTTGTTTTTGTCTCTTTCCTACTCACGGTGTTTTTAACAGTTCAATCCAATGACGTCATAAAAGTCTTAGGTATTATACGCATCTATGGAAGTGGGCCATACATTTTACCATGACTATTTCCCTCCTGTTAATTTTGACCAATCAGAAGTGATAATTTTGGTGTCAAAAATAATGTTTAATTAAAAAAAGGAACTGTCTAGAGTCCCGAACGCGGGATTGCTAGAAAAACTCAAAATCCCGAAGAGGCGTGGCTTAATAACGCCATTCGGGACTTTCCAAAAATATTTCTAATCCCGACTTCGGGAACATGGCAAGAAAAGTAAAATCCCGAATGCGTAATAATTGTTTATGTATTATTTGTGTATCCTATACACCTAGGATAGATTAGCCAACTGCTCTGTATTTTGGACAGTTTTGGCTGAAAATTTGTATTCTTTATTGTGGGGTTAAATACAAATGACAAATTTTATTCATATAAAGAATTACAAGATGCTATTGATTTATATGAGAAAGAAAATAGGGTGCAATTTTGGAAACGGGATGCAAAAACTATCACATCCGCGAAGCATCATGCCCCAAGACAGTTAAAGATAAACCTAAACCTGATATAAGATGAAATTATGAAATAATCCCTAATCATGAACAAGTCGTTGTTGATACCACTATCGAGACTTATGAGATTCCGGACTATGATTAACAAGCGAGAGCAGCAGTCCGAAAGTTTTGAAATAATCCCTAATCATGAACAAGTTGTCGTTGATACCCCTATCGAAAATATGAGATCCACATGGACTATGATGAACAAGATCAGCAGCCCTGTTGATACCTACCCCTGTTGAAACTTATGAGGCATCAAGCAGGCAGAAAGGATAAACAAGATCAACAGTTAGGAAGAGAAGGAGAAATAAAATACGACACAAAATACACAGCGATCGGCAAGGGCAAAACCCTTTGAAAACATTTTTTTTACCAGTAAGTGTTAATTTATTGTTATTAGTATATATTTGCAATTTAATGAAAACAAACTTCATTTTGTTTACCTACTAGAAATACACGATATTTGTTTTTTGCTACTTCCATGTTTTTCTATTAATTGTCTGATAAAATTATAAGTCGGGAGTTTACTTCTGTTACAACAGTCCCGAGGTCGGGATTCGAATAATTTTTGGAAAGTCCCGAACGCCGTTAACCACGCCTCTTCGGGATTTTGCTTTTTTCTAACGATCCCGCGTTCGGGACTCTAGACAGTTCCTTAAAAAAATTGCCTGCCATCAGCTGTCAGCAAGTTTATTTGGTTTTTCCCACAGCAAGAGAGAAGAAATCTACAAAAAAATTGTAACAAGAATATGCAAAAAGTTCAACGAAATGTACCCTGATTTACGACCAATGAATGAAAGAAAATTTGTTCGGACACATTAGTTATTTGTATACCAAGGCCGCGAAATGCCTTTTTAGCGTACGTAGAGAAAAGTTATCGCCGAGGCAAGCGGCGGAGGCAAGATACTCTCAGGTACGCTAAAAAGTTTCGCGGTCATGGTATACACACTATTTTTTGTACTATAAAAATTATGTAAAGTTACAGAAAAACTGTATGAATTTGACAAGGATTTGACCCATTTTGCACGTCAGGTGTGGCGGCCGCGAAATTGAATTTTGCGGACGGTTGCACAAAAAATAACTTTATACAATTTGGTTCAAAACTTAAGAATGAACCAAGCTTACCCAAGCCCGTAATGTCTGATGAAGAAACATTGTGAATATTTCAGCCTACCTTCACGCATATCCCCAAGCTTCCATCTGAAGTGCAGCAGGTGATTTAGGCCTGAGCTATTATTATGTGTCGAAAATTTTTAACGATCATAATATGCATCCCTTGAAATTCACAAAAGTTCAACAGCTGAAACCGAATGATTACCAACGTCAAATTCAATATTAAGAGACACTTCTGACACACACTTATGACTACCTATCTAAACTTTCTAAAAAAAATTAATATGGACCGATGAAGCTGAAGAATGTATTTTTGATAGGAGAAATCAACTTTTGGGCTGATCAAAATCCATATGCGGTCAAGGAAAAAAAGATCCCAAACCCCCAGTTGCAACAAAATAGGTTGTGACAGTATTTTTTCTACTACCTCACGTAAAGTACTCACTTTATGCACCATTGCGAAGACGTTAAATTTTACTTCACACACTAGTGTGTAAAGTAATGTCAATGACAGATGTCGACACTGTCAATTTAGTATTTTTCTGGTAAATTACTTCACGCACTAGTGCGTGAATTATTTGTCTAAATTTATTTTTCTCACATATTTTATTAATAGTAGAAAAAATGTTGTATGCAATAAGTGTGTACAGTACCTTTTTTTACTCATGTGATTGTCGCACGTCACATTCGTGAAAAAAAGTTCACTTAACACACTTGTTACTGCTATTTAATAAGACATAATTTTTAAATACCTAAACAAATTCTAACAAATCAAATCAAATCAAATCAAAATTGCTTTATTGTAGGAAGACATAGTCTCATTTACAAAGCTGTGGAAAATAAACTACATAATCATAATATCCATAAGATCCAACTTCCTAATAGATTACATATCTTGATGATAAACTAGTAATAAAATTCTAATCACTAAACAATGTAAGATAAAAACAAAAATAAAAATTAAAAAAAAAAAAAAAATAAAAAAAAAAATAAAAATCAAAATAAAAATAAAAATAAAAATAAAAATAAAAATAAAAATAAAAATAAAAATAAAAATAAAAATAAAAATAAAAATAAAAATAAAAATAAAAATAAAAATAAAAATAAAAATAAAAATAAAAATAAAAATAAAAATAAAAATAAAAATAAAAATAAAAATAAAAAAATAAAAATATCAATATCTACCTATGAATGAATATCTAGGGTAGCATTGGGCTAGTTATTTAAACCTAATTGAAATTATGGGACAGGAACTCATCAAAACTGTAAAACCCCTCCGCAGCCAAGAGTCTTTTCACCGTATTTCTAAACACCCTGTAATCTACAATTCGTCGAATCTGGACAGGCAACTTATTGAACAGC